CTTTTTTCCGTTGTGTAGACATTCGCAGTTCAACGATCACTATAAAAAAAATAGGAAAGCAATTCAAGCATTGCCAGTTTCCTGCACTTCTGCTTGCTGGATTAGTGGCATGAGCAGACTTCAGTAAAATTAGGTCGTGTTTAAATATTCGGAATGGCCTTGTTCAGGATGTTATCCACTGCATGAGACGTTTGTTTTTTTATCTTCGTTCAGTCCACGTGCTGTATCTTTCAAGCTTACTTTAATGCTCATTTCATCGAACTTTGCCTGTTCCTTGGTTTAATTCAGCTCAGCGGCAAAATTTTTCTCATTCTTTGTCTCACCTGAATTTAAGCTTCTCTGCTGCAAATAACTTCGTTTTCCAAACATTTCATTGCTCTGAATATTAATTAAAAAGCATACGAATTATTTGAATCCTAATTTTTTTAAGGAACCCATATCCAGGCAAAATTTTTAACGTACCAGGTGGCGAGAATGTTTACGCTGATATTGAAATCGATTATTCCGGGATACACGTTACTCCGGAAAATTTCTTGGCCATATTGACTGGCAATAAAAGCGCTGTGGTCGGAGGCAGCGGTCGAGTAATCGAAAGCACTTATCATGATCGAATATTTGCGTATTTCACCGATCATGGTGGTGTAGGGATAGTGTCTTTTCCAGATTCAGTAGTGAGTTTGCTTCGCAGACTTTTCTTTCTTTTTCGTAGCATATTAACAATGTTAGCTGTCTGCTATTACACTAGCAACGTAAGTTATTGTGATTCTAAAAAAAATCATTTGAAAGAATGTGTTGTGGGAAAACTGTAATTTCTTTTTAATACATTCTTGGCTAATCCATGACCAGCATTTAAATTCTTTAGTGTTCGCAGCTTTCCTTATAACTGAAAATTCGTTCAAACTTATTCATAAGTTTTGCAAAAATTGGCAGTTACAGATTTCTGTTTGCCTCCTTCATAGTGAAGACAATCGTCCGCAGCTAAAGTTAGTTGCCAAAATAATGATTTCGAAATTTATCCCTATAGCACAAGCAAGACAAAGAACAGTTACCTTGTTCTCTGTATGACTGCTCTTTTGTTCATGCACGTGATTATTCTTGTACCAGATATTGGCGACTAAGCCATTCATTATTCATCCGCAACATTTGAAGCAAACATTGCTACAGGTCTTTCGGTTCCATTAATGCCAGGCAGTTTTTTATACCAGCTGAAAAAAATCAGTGCACATGAGCGGAATTTTAAAAAAAAAAACAGTTTGCGCTTAATGATTTATATGATTTCAGTTAACAGTCAAGGATTTAAATAACGCTTTGAAACGAATGCACAAATTAAAGAAAGTTGGAAAGCTCGTGTTCTACATGGAGGCATGTGAAAGTGGTTCAATGTTCGCTAAAGTTCTACCAAAAAATATAAATGGTATTTGGATTAATCTTTCGAAATTACCAGTATCACCAAAACCACCCGGAAATTTCGCGTGGAAATTCCGTGTTAGTGATGTTTTTGAGATACACCCTGATACCAGTTGCAGCTGTGCCAGTCTCTAATAAGCATATTTATCTTCGGACTGCTGTAAAGCATTGCATTCAGTACAGACGGAATGGGGAGCGGGGTGGAAAGGGGAGGGGGAGGGGGGGGGGGGGGGGGGG